AATGTCTACCCCACAAAGTGATTCTGCTAACCTGTACAGAGTACAGGTTACAAGGCTGTGTTTCAGCTAGTGATGCACACCAAAACCTGTGACTGTGTCTTTCAGAATTAAGATTAAAGGGATTTCAGCCAGCCTGGCTCCTGCTGGGACTCAACTGTTTCTCTCTCTCTCTCTCTCTCTCTCTCTCTCTCTTGATTTTCAAGACAGGGTTTCTCTGTGTAGCTTTGGAGGCCATCCCTGAACTAGCTCTGTAGACCAGGCTGACCTTGAACTTACAGAGGCCTGCCTGTCTTAGCCTCTCAAGTGCTGGGATTAAAGGCATACACCACCACTGCCCAGCCTCAGCTGTTTCTCCTAATTTTAACTTGAGCTGTAATCTAGACAGCTCCCGTAGGCCCCTGCCATGTAACATTTCCTTGTATTTATTTTTATTCGTCAAAACTCTGTATAAGCTAACATTATTATCAATCAGACAGTACAGCTTAGAGAGGAATCATTTTTTTAAAATACTAATCTGCAAGATAAAAAATGCCCAAATGGAACGGGATGTTTCCATGAGATAAACACATTTCGGGCAGTGAGAATCTTCCCACACCCAATTCAACCACACCATACACCAGAGAAAGACTAACAGGGCAGCAGCAAATTCGTAAAGGCACAGCAGAAGTAAAAGACTGTGCAGGGTCTGCGGTCTCTGGCCTTGCCTAACTGAGATTTACCCATCAGAGTGTCTCTCCCTGCTGGGCTGACACCTGGAACTTCAATTGCCACCTGCTGCTCCTCTGACTTGGCCTCGTCAAGTTCCAGGTGTGTTAATCACCTTCACTTGTGAGAAAAATACCTGAGACAACCCTTTCACAGAGGAGAGCCTGAGAGCTGGAGAGATTGCTCCAGGCTGAGAACCCTGTGCTCTTGCAGAGCACCCAGGCTTGGCTCACAACTATCCCTAACTCAAGTTCCAGGGGCTAGGACACCCTCCTTCTGAACTCCATGGGCACCAGGCACTCATGCGGTACACACACACACATGCAGCCAAACACTCATACTCATACACCTTAAGAAATAAAAAGGAAGGTTTATTGTGGCTCACAAATTCAGAAGATTTGTCCATAGGTCATTTGTCCCGCTACTGCTTTTGGGACCGTGGCGACACAGGGATTTATGGCAGAGTCTTCTGCTCCGTTCCTGGCAACCAGGAAGCAAAAAAGAGGAGGCCACGATGAAGCAAGGCCCCTCTACTCAAGGGTCCCGGCCCCCCCAGTAACCTAAATCCCTCCCACAAGTCTCCGCATCCCGAAGACTCCGCCGACCACCAAAGGCGGAAAGCTGGGGACCAACTCCAAATCCAGAGGACACTCCAAATCCTGGAGTGGGGCCATGTATTCCTGGAAAGGTGGTGACATTAAATGAAAGTGATGCTATCCCAGAGGCCAGTTCCCCTAAGGGCAAGAAGTGTGGGTTGGAATCTCAGGGTACACAGGAAAGGGCTGTGCACAGGGTTGCTTTGTACGGCGATTTTCCTCTAGATAAGGGAAAGGGTTTTTTGTTTTGTTTTGTTTTGTTTTGTTTTGTTTGTTTGTTTGTTTTTCTGTTTGAGACAGATCTCTCTGTGGAGACCTGGCTGCTCTGTCTGTAGACCAGGCTGGCCTCTCACTCTGTAGACCAGGCTGGCCCCAAACTCAGAATTGTGAGGAGGAAACAGCTGATGCTTAAGGCCACCCACTTGTCTAGGCAAACCCATGAGCTAAAGCTTGCAGACTTATCTGTACTTCGCAGAAGGCTAGTCGCAATCCCAACTCCAGCAGCACGTGAGTTGAGTGCTTCCCTATGAGAAACTTTGGAAATTTTGCTTATGGATCCCTATGCGTCCCCTGCGAATGGAAAATTCTCACACGTGTTAGGACTTGTCTTTGCTTTGGTTGGACCTGGCTGGGTATCTTTTGCCTACTTTTAGATGAGACTATTCTACTTTGCCTGTTAGTTTGGAGGAGAAATGGTACTGTTTGCTCATTTGGCAAATGTTCCTTCTGGTTTTTGCTTTCAGTAAATTCTGTTTTATTTTATCATGGAGAATTTAGGTTTACATATGTTCAAACACTTGCCTAACTATCAGTCAGATGGTTCACAGGGAGTTTTCCTCTGATTTGATGATTCTATCATTTAGTTGTATTCCTTAATCTGACCTATATTTATTTTGGTGGTATACTAGTTGGATATACACTGATTTTTTTCCCCCTTCAAATAGCAAACTTTTACTATACAATATTATGGGGGAAATCCACTCAACAGTTCATTAAGTTGAAACAATTCATTTTCTAGGTTATTACACAGCAGGATCTGACTATTGGTTATTGTGATCCATTATTTTTCTCCATAAATTATTTTTCTCCATCATTAATGCTATTGTCTTATAATTGCTACACCAATTATATATTTAGCTATTCTGTCCTTTGCATTTAAGACTCTCCTATGTCCATTCTACTCAGTGAATTTTAATTTGTTATATTCTCCCAAACATACTCATTGAGACATCAGTTAAAATTCCATTGTCTATTACATCTTTCCAATGAGAAAAACAGTGTCACTTTATTCAACCCTATTTATTATAAACCCCTCAAGGACCATTGGTTGGCTGTTTATATTGTGGCTGTTCTGAATGATGCCCATTTTCCACACAGAATTTTAATTATTAAATCACATGAAAGCTATTGATTCAGGAATACTCAAGTATTCACTTTGTGGCGTTTTCTTATTGATCATAACAGGTCTCCTCCCCCTTTCTTCCCTTCCTTTCTTTCTTTGTATTTTATTGTATTTTTGAGACACTTGGTAGCCTGGAAGCCACTCTGTACACCAGGCTGGCTTCAAATTCACAGATCCACCTGCATCTTCCACTGAGTGCTGGGATTAAAAGCTACCATGACTAGCCTTCTATTATTTTGTAAGGCTATAGTTAGATTATCATCATGTATCATCATGTATAGCCGATATGATTATGTGGAACCCTCATTCTAAACGCTTCCATTAGAGGTTAAAACTATCTCCTTGCTTACTTTAAGTTCAGCCCTCTGTTTCCCAGCAACACAGAGTGTCCACATTGTGGCATTCAGAGAGAGAATATAACTTTGCAGCAACACAGAGTGTCCACATTGTGGCATTCAGAGAGAGACTATAACTTTGGCAGGTCCCAGTCCCATTGTCACTGATGGCATTGAAAGTGGAAAGCTGGACAGGCATGCCTGTGGCATAGCTTTTATCCTTGGTTCAAACCAGAGCATCAAACCATTTGCGAGCCCGATAGAATCTGCCTTCTTATCCTGGTTTCCATTAAGACATTCTTAAACCACCTGTAAAATCTGTGGTCACACTTGTTTGTTAATGAGGCTTTCAGGGTATTGCCTATGATAACACTAGCTCTGTTAGACTTCTTATTGCCATGGCACATGAAGGCAGTCTATTTCAGGAGACAGAGTCTGGGTAGTGAGTTTCCCTTTCTCTCCCATTGCTGAAGGAACTCAGAGCAAAACCTGCTGCTCAGCCAGAGCAAGCATTTAATGCCCTCAGGACTGACACAGTATTCCCTTCGTGGTTCTAATTCCTCTTCCCTGGTTTGCCTCTTATCATTAATACTTCTTGTAGGTCATTCTGAATCACTTTTGGAAAGAAGGCCAAGCGTATAGGGTATTTCCTTTGCTGTTGTCACTGTTGCAAAGGAACCTGTGACAGGTGTCTCTAAGGAGGGTCAGTGGTGCCCAGTGGAAGATGGAAGTGGCCGTCCTACTCTGAGTTACCAGAGAGATTGCCACTCAAGGGTCTGGGGCAAGGGCTAGAGGGCGCGTCTCCTTTCCCAATAAGGAGACATACAGTCAGCCCCTAAAACTGGCTTTACTTCTTGAATCAATGTGAATGAACTTTGGAGTTCCAGTTTAATATTTACTAATACTTCATATTTTAAAAATACATAGCATCCATAGAAAACAGAACGGCGGTTGCCAGAGTGACACAAGGGGAAATGAGGGTTGTTCAACGGCACAAAGACTCTTTCGTATGAGGTAAGTTCTAGAACTCTGCTATACAAGCTAGTGTCTCAAACTGATAATAAGGGGTTGGCCACTTAAAAATCACTGAGGGTAGGCCTCCCATCAGACTTTCTTGTTGCAAGAGCAACAATAACAAACAGAGCAAAGGGACACAAAGTAGCCCCTGCAAGGGTTATAACCCCATAAGGAGTGAAGTCTGGTTGTCTTGTTATGTGGGGCCAGCTCTGTGTATCAACTAAACCTCCACAGGCCACTTACAAATGACAAGACCTCCAAGTTACCACCAGTTCTCTGCTCTTCCAAGACGCCAGGGAACAAGAAGCAGAGACCCAGTTACCAGGAGACAATGTGTCCTTTTCACCAAAGCAGTGATGTCATAATGGCATCAATGACTATCCAGACTTAAGCCTCTGAGAAGCCTGCTTTAGAGTTCCACCTCAGATTTTTTCAACCAAAGATTAGTAAAACTGATCCCTTCAAACCAGAAACAGCCTTGGTGTCTGGATCTCTGTAACACTCCTAGTACAAAAGAATAGCAACGTCACCTGGCTCATTCCAACCCTTTGTTTCCACAGTTTCTTACCAAAACCCCTAAAGACGTGTGAGCGCCAGAAAATGCACGGGATGAGAACTTCCTATCTACCCACCTTCAGGTGTATAATTCTGCAGACACGAATGCCTGCATTTCCAATGTTGCTGCAGATACCCAAAGAGCACTTCCAAATGTGAATTTAAAAAAAAAAAAAAAGATTGAAAAATAAGATAGCAGGACTTTCTGGTTCCACTCAAGGAATTTCTAATTTTGCCCCTTTTGCCAAGAAAACGCATGGCCACTCCTTGGTTTGACTCTCTCAGATAAAAAGTGGGCTTCCACGTCTCTGATACATAAACAGAGCTGTTTGGGAGAACGCATTTGTCTTATTCGATCTTTTCTTGTAAATGAAAAAGAAATCAGCTGTTAAGATTTGTGATATTCTCAGAATATACGATTATTTTAATTCTTTAATGCTTGCTTCCAGTTTTTCCACGAGGGCACCAGAAAACTCGCCCACCTTTTCCTCTTTTTTATAAAACTGGAAAGTTGGGAGGCAAAAGACGTCACGGTCCTGCACCAGCTGCTCACAGTCATCGGCGTCCACTTCCAGGAACACCACATCCTCGTGTTTCAAAGACAAGGAGTGGAAATATGGCCTGATGGCTCTACAAGGCCCACACCAAGACGCTGAGAAGTCCACAGCCACCAACTTCTCCCCGGCCTCTTTGAGCACCTCCTCAAATTCCTCCTTGCCTATGATCAATCTCACCATGTCTTCTTCTGGAAGCTCTATTTCCCCTTCGAAGTCTGAGATCTTACTCTCCTTGGGCATCATTGTGTCTTCTGAGGACTTGATAATTCGACTTTCCTGGGGCTTGATGCTGGCTTTTGGGAGCTGGGTGACTTCTCCCTCCTTGGACTGGATGGTGTCTCTTGAGGACTTGTAAACTTTACCTTCCTTGGACTTGATGTTGTCCTGTGAGGCCTTGGGGGTGTCAGCTGCCTTGAATAGGATGCTGTCTTTTAAGGGCTTGTGGATTTTAACATCTTTGAACTGGATAGTGTCCTGTGAGGACTTGGGGGTGTTGCTATCCTTGGATGAGATACTGTCTTTTAGGAGCTTGTGGATTTTAATATCTTTAGACAATATGTCCTCCTGTGAGGACTTGGGGGTTTCGCTCTCCTTGGATGAGATGCTGTCTTTTAAGGGCTTGTGGATTTTAACATCTTTGAACTGGATAGTGTCCTGTGAGGACTTGGGGATGTTGCTATCCTTGGATGAGATACTGTCTTTTAGGAGCTTGTGGATTTGAACATCTTTGGACTGGATGGTGTCCTGTAAGGACTCAGGGATGTCACTCACCTTGGATGAGATGCTGTCTTTTAAGGGCTTGTGGATTTGAACATCTTTGGACTGGATGTTGTCCTGTGAGGACTTGGAAATGTCACTCACCTTGGATGAGATGCTGTCTTTTAAGGGCTTGTGGATTTGAACATCTTTGGACTGGATGGTGTCCTGTAAGGACTCAGGGATGTCACTCACTTTGGATGAGATGCTGTCTTTTAAGGGCTTGTGGATTTGAACATCTTTGGACTGGATGTTGTCCTGTAAGGACTTGGAAATGTCACTCACCTTGGATGAGATGCTGTCTTTTAAGGGCTTGTGGATTTGAACATCTTTGGACTGGATGTTGTCCTGTGAGGACTTGGAAATGTCACTCACCTTGGATGAGATGCTGTCTTTTAAGGGCTTGTGGATTTGAACATCTTTGGACTGGATGTTGTCCTGTGAGGACTTGGAAATGTCACTCACCTTGGATGAGATGCTGTCTTTTAAGGGCTTGTGGATTTGAACATCTTTGGACTGGATGTTGTCCTGTGAAGACTCAGGGATGTTACTCACCTTGGATGAGATGCTGTCTTTTAAGGGCTTGTGGATTTGAACATCTTTGGACTGGATGTTGTCCTGTGAAGACTTGGAAATGTCACTCACCTTGGATGAGATGCTGTCTTTTAAGGGCTTGTGGATTTGAACATCTTTGGACTGGATGGTGTCCTGTGAGGACTCAGGGATGTTACTCACCTTGGATGAGATGCTATCTTTTAAGGGCTTGTGGATTTGAACATCTTTGGACTGGATGTTGTCCTGTGAAGACTTGGAAATGTCACTCACCTTGGATGAGATGCTGTCTTTTAAGGGCTTGTGGATTTGAACATCTTTGGACTGGATGGTGTCCTGTGAGGACTCAGGGATGTTACTCGCCTTGGATGAGATGCTATCTTTTAAGGGCTTGTGGATTTGAACATCTTTGGACTGGATGGTGTCCTGTGAGGACTCAGGGATGTTACTCACCTTGGATGAGATGCTGTCTTTTAAGGGCTTGTGGATTTGAACATCTTTGGACTGGATGTTGTCCTGTAAGGACTTGGAAATGTCACTCACCTTGGATGAGATGCTGTCTTTTAAGGGCTTGTGGATTTGAACATCTTTGGACTGGATGTTGTCCTGTAAGGACTTGGAAATGTCACTCACCTTGGATGAGATGCTGTCTTTTAAGGGCTTGTGGATTTGAACATCTTTGGACTGGATGATGTCCTGTGAAGACTTGGGGATGTCACTCTCCTTGGACCAGATGCTGGTCTTTAAAGGCCTGTAGATTTTACCGTCTTTGGACAGGTTGGTGTCCTGTGAAGACTTGGGGATGTCACTGCCCTTGAATACAATGGTGACCTGTGAGAGCTTGGGGATGTTACTCTCCTTGGACAGGAAGGTGTCTTCTGAGGACTTAGGGATGTTACCCTCCTTGAATTGGGTGGTATCCTCTGATGACTTGGGCATGCTGGCCTCCTTGTGGCGGCTGCTGTTTGCTGCAAGCTTGTGGGCCCCCTGTTTGGGATGGGAGGTTTTTGCCAAGGATTTGGTTGTGTTGCTAGGCTTGGTCTGCACAGGTTGGGCTGGGTTCTTAGAAATGTTTTTCTGTTTTGGATTATTAGCTTTGGCTGAGGGCGTTGAGGCATCCCCCTGTTTCAGCTGAGTGGTTTTTGCTGAGGACTTGGGGCTATCGCCAAGTTTAGGATGGGTGGTATTTTCTGAAAAACTTAGGCTGTCACTAACCTGCTGTAGGATCTCAGACTCCTCTCTGGACACATGGACTGTGTTGCTGGCCACGGGAACAACGGCCTTCTCTTTGGCCGGGGCTGTAACCAAGAACTCTGGGGCCAGAAGAGCCTCGTTTTGGGATAGAACCTGTAATGGATTTTCTAAACAAAAAATAAATACATGAAATAGAAATGCAAAAGAAAGAAAAGACTGACTATCTACACCATGGAAGACTTCTTCTCAGAGACCATGAGTGACTCTGATGAATAGCGCACACACTTCATTCATCAGAGAGCCAGGCAGGCCAGGGAGAGCTACGTGGGTCTCTGCGTTTCTTCTCCCTTTCCCTTCCCTGTTTAACCCAGCTCCCCCAACGCATGCACCCCAGAGGCAACCCTCCTCCTTCCCGTCTTACCATTGCTGCCTCTGTCATTTCTTCCTTGATTGCTCTCTATCACGGCTGACTCCTCCTCCTCAGGGCCCCCTGCTTCAACACTGCTCTCCTCCAACCCTTTCTCTTGGTCTTGATTCATTTGGGGGGGGGGTGAGGTGTTCTTCTTAGACTTTTCTTCTCTAGCCAAACTAAGAACAACACGTACTAACAACTTAATACTGGGACAGCACTGCACAGTTGATGTCCCCAACCAGTCCTCCAACAGTGGCCCCTGAAAGCTTCATGGCAGCCTCAGCGCGGGTGGCCATGCTGGGTGAGGGCCGTGGACGCATAAACAGGCATTATTTCCTCAAGTACAACCAACCAACTGCTGAGGTAAGGTCCATTGTGATCAGCACCTTACAGGCGGGGGAACTGAGCCCTAGAGAAGTTATATGGCCAGGATAGGTCAAGGTTCAAAGGTCATGGTTCAAAGCCTACTTTTTGCCCAAATAGCCTGTCTATGCCAGGAGCATAAACCAACTTTTTTATAATTCTCTTCCCCCCCCCCCCCGGTGTTCTCTAGCACCAGGTTTCTCTTTATGACTCATTAGTTATGTTAGTCTCTTCCTCTAATACTGCCACAAAATAACCGAAGCTATGCACTTTACAAAGACATGAGATTTATTTAGCTCATAGTTCTGGGGGGATGAAGGGAATGGCATCAGCATCCATCTGGCTCTTATGAAGGCTCCTTGGCAGATGGATATGAAGTTCCAACAATGAGGTAAGCACAAACAAGACCACACTGGGAGCCAGAGCGTGAAGAGGTAGAGCTTCTACCCTCAGTCTTAGGGTTTCCGTTGCTGTGAGCAAAAGCGTGGCCAAAAGCACCTCGGGGTGGAAAGGATTTTCTTGGCTTGTATATCATGGATCACAGTCACTCGGGAAGCCGAGGCAGGGGCTCAGCGCCCTTAGGAGCCTGGAGGCAGGAGCTGATGCAGAGGCCATGGAGGGTGCTGCTGAGTGGCTTGCTCATCATGGTTTGCTCAACCTGCTCTCTTACGGAACCCAGGACCACTATCCCAAGGACAACACCACCCACCATGGTCTGGGCCTCCCACAATAATCACTAACTAAGAAAGTGCCCTACATGCTTGTCCACAGCCAGATCTCATCCAGGCAATTTCTCAGTTGGGGATTCCCACTCTGAGAGACTCCAGCTTGTGTCAATTGACATAAAGCTAGCTAGCACATGAAAACAACCTTAATTCCTCATAAAGAAAGAACCCAAAAGACCTAGAGACCACCTCTCGACATTCTTGTACTAGAGCCAAGCTCCAGGTTAGGAGCAAGCCAAGTGCTCACTATAACTACCTCCTATGCATCTCCGCTCTGAGAACACCACATCACAGCAGATAAGCACCTCCTGCCAGACAGCCTCCTCCGGTCCCCACCAGCCCTGCTTAATTCTACCTCTTACCTGAAGAGCAGCTGTGGCTAGTCCCAGCTGAATCAGCCATGCTGAATCAGCCATGTGTACCTCACTGATGCATAAATACAGTCAAATTACCTTTCCACAAGGCTGCTGTGGAGCTCAGCAGTATAGCTTGTCTAACATGCACGAGGCTCTGGGTTCCATCATTAGCAGCACGAGGCTCTGGGTTCCATCATTAGCAACACACACACACACACACACACACACACCTTGTAGAAAGAATTCTAAGGGTATTTGCTTGTTTTCCACATTTACTCTGCATAGCACATCCAGTCCCAAGAATGTGTGTGAAAATGAAGTTTTGCGTTCCAAAGAAAAAGTTTTAAATTTATCTTTATGTGTATGGGTGTTTTGCCTGCATGTGTGTCTGTTCAGCATTTGCATCCCTGGTGACCAGAAGAGGGCATGGGATCCCCCGAAACTGTCGCGACAGACAGTTGTGAGTTTCCATCTGGGTGCTGAAAATCAGACCTAGGTCCTCTGGAAGAGCATTCGGTGCTCTTCACCACTGTGCTCAAGTTTTGCATATATAATATTTTTTTAAACAAAGTTTCATGTTTCTTTCGATGCTCTATGAGAAGTCAAAACTAAGAAGGTTGTCTAAACAGTGGAGTGCCCATACTGTCTATAGAAGATCTGAGACATCTACTAGTAGTGATTTAATTACCTGGGCTTTGATATCGGACATATTCCATGAGGGTGGAAAGTAATGCCGGTATTAGTAAATTCGTTTTTCAGTAGAATATATTTTATCTGTTCTTTGACAATTCCAAACAACATGTCTGGCTGATGTCTACCCCCAGTGCCTCCTCCCCCTCCCCCCACACCTCACACTTTTCCACTTTTCTTGGCTCTCTCCATGACTTCTTTTTTGCAGCCCACTGAGTCTAGTTAGCACTGCCTGTTGGAGCACTTGACTGGTCTTGTTGGCTTCATCTCCTGTAGGTGACCACTGACTGCTGCTGCGGTTTGCCGGTGGAAGAGCCATGCCATATCCGGAAGACAGCATCACACAGTGGTCCTCCCTTCCCCTGCCTCTTTCACAACCTGCTCTCTTTTCTATGATGACCCACGGGCCTCCTGGGGAGGGCAGAGTGCACTTAGATGGTTGCTGCTGTCATAAAAGGGGTGTCCTTGAGCCTTGATCATTGTGGCATAAATGTCATCCCTGGGATGTGGGCTTTACAAGGCCACAGGGAGTGGATTATGGCTTTGTGATTGTAGATGAGACTTCCCAGCTGAGAGGAAGTGAGAACATCTCCCCTTCTGTGTTGTGAGGAAGCCAGAAGAAAAAACACACATAGCCCAGGCTCTAAGTGTGTGAGCCAGGTGTGTCTCACAGAGTAAACAACCAGCTGCTTGAAGCATAAGATGGTTGAGGCGCTTATAAAATATCCCGAAAGGATCTCTGTAGAATAGACTTACCAGCCCATGGGGCGGCAGCCTCCAAGACCCCAGGGAGGCAGGGAGGCACCACCACAGTCAAGGCTGGCTTCAAGAACTTTCTGCTAGAGATGCAATCCCAGAGTGAGCCCCTAGATTTCCTCCAGCTCAAAGTCAGAGGTAAACATTGGTTTCTGCTTGCACATTCCTCCCTACTGGGCTCCGGCACAGCCAGGTGTGAACCATGGCCTCCTTCCCAAGCAGGTTGGCCACCGAGAGAATCTAAGTTGCACCCAGAGCCCCAGCTGCAAAGGGCTATAACTGCACTGAGCAGCGTGCCAGCAGGAAGCAGGGTTAGCACTGGGAAGTCCTAGGAGAGTGCTGTGGACTGGCCTTGAATACACTAAGCTGGCATCAGTTGTTTGATTTACAAAGTGCACAGATCCCTGAGAGAACTAGCACACTGATGTGTGGAAAGAAAATAAAACCGATCCGTTTTGTATGTATTGGTCATGTTTCCCACTGCTTTGATAGAATGCCCGTCAGAAAGAGCCTTGGGGTCAAGGTGTGTGTCACAGTTCAGAGGGTGGCAGCAGAAGCCCATGGCAGAGGCTTGGTCATGTGAGCAGAGAACAGGACTGGGAACAGGCATGGGCTGTAACAATCAAACTCCACAGCGGCAGCCTGAGCTCACCTCCTATAGTTTCATAATTTGCCAAATTCTGCCATCAATTCAGGACGAGATTTTTAAACAGGAGCTTGTGGGGACCATTTCAGACCCAAACCACTCGATGTCCATCTTCAAAGCTTAGTGCTGTCAGTATTATGACTCATACTGTCTTTTTCTATATGCATATATTTTCTTTCCTTTAAAAATTATTATGTGTGTTGTGGACATGTGTGTCACAGCCTGTATGTGGAAGTCAGAGGACAACTCTGAAGAACCTCTTCTGTCCTTCCAGGATCTCAGGGATCAAACCCAGGTCCTCAGGCTTGCGCAGCAAGCTCCGCCATTTTGCTAGCCTGATTATAGATAGAATCTAATGAGAACTTTCTGTTTTAAGAGTGATTTTGCTTTTAGTTATGGGGGGGTGCGTGTGTGAGTGTGGGTACCCACAGAGTTCAGAGGAGGACACCTGATCCCCTGGAGCTGGAGTAACAGAGCTTGTGAGTGTGGTGGTGGTGGTGGTGGTGGTGGTGGTGGTGGTGGTGTGTGTGTGTGTGTGTGTGTGTAGCAGGGAACCTAACTCAGGTCCTCTGTGAGCTGTGTTCATTCACAGCAGGAGGCCCAAGAACCAACCAATGCCTCTTGGCCTCTTCCTCTCAATGGACCATTTCCTGGGGGGGGGGGGTGGAGGGAGTGTGTTCTTGCACAGTGACCCAGGTATTCGTTATATTATGGGCTTTGACTTCCCATCTCACTAGGGCTCAACCAAGTAGCTTGAAAAGTATTAGCGAGTCGCCTCTCAGTTGGGGCTTATCTGATGTGTTTCTTATGTTCAGTGAGTCTTACAGAGGAAGATGAGGCACAGCACTGTCATCCTTTTATTATAAACTAAATATATCTAGGGGTCACGCCACCAACAAGCCTGAGATCTAATGCGTTTGAACTGTTGTTCAGTTTCTCTGTTGGGTGTTAATTCCTTCCCCTCCCTTATTGCATAGCAAAGAAGGAAAGGGAAGGGGGGAGAGAAGAAGGGGGGAGGAAGGGATGAGGAAAGAAGGGAGGGGAGGGAAGGAGGGATGAGGGAAGGAGGAAAGGAGGAAGGGAGGGAGGTTACTATTCACAGCCATGCTCTAGAGAAATATCCTATATAAATCTCTCAGAATTCTTCTGTTTAGAGGTTTTGTTCTCCATTTTTTTTTATTCAGTCATCTGTTCACATCAGGGTTGATCCCTTGGTGTTCCCTTTATACTTTGTTTTATAATCTGGACTTTGCTGTTTCGTTCTTCAGCTTGTCCCAGCATTTGAGAGTGTTTTTGAATGGCTCCCACTTCCCTTTGACACGAACTTACCTTTGCAAATGTCCATGCTTTCTGCTTACAAGATCATCAGTGCTGACCATCACCATGGCAGGGTCTGGATTAGGTTCAGTCAGGTCAGAGGTGTTATGGGGGGGTCCTCCAGAGACGACCACTCAGACGTGTTTTAAGCCAACAGAAAATCTTTATTAGCCAGCCCAGCCGGCGACTATGCTGGCTGTTCAGGACCCCACTGTAGGTCCACATCTTTGTCAGGTGACATTTTAAGCACAAAAATCCATATTCTGGATTGACATACTTCCATTCAAGAACAGTTAGCCAGAAGTGGAGACACAGAAGCTGGAAAACAAGGTCAGTACATTGAGAGACTGTTCCAGAACTGTGGACTTTGAAGGATTAGGTCCTTGTTCTCATTTTGACAGGTAATGCTGTCTACATTTGAGTTTCATGGCCCAAATGGTACTTTCATCATGGAGTTAGTGGTGCTAAGAGGTCTGTTCCAGGAAGGGTCACCTTCCTGTGGGCTGGGCTCCTGGACTGAATAAAATGGAGAAAGCAAGCTAAAGAAAGCACTCAACAATCCCTCCTTCCTGAACACAGATGTATAACATGACCAGCGTCCTCAGATCCTGCCGCCATGACTGCACCCTTGAACTTGAGCCGAAACAAACCCTTTCCTCCCTCCATCCTTAAGTTTCCTTTGTCAGGTATTTTATTACAGTGTCAAGAAATTAAGGCACTTTTCCAGGTTCACCTAGTACAACGGTTCTCAACCATCCAAAAACATGTTTGCAATGCTCTTAGGAACGGACACTGCTCAGTAGCAAAACTGCAGTTATGAAATCACAAGGAAAATAATCTCGTTTGGGGGTCACCACAACGTGAGGAACTGAATTAAAGGGTCGCAGCGTTGGAGAGGCTGAGGACCACTGATGTGTTCACTGTCCTGGCTCTAGAATCCTGCTTTTCTACAACCCTTTGATCAGAGAATGGCATTTAGGAACAGACTGAAGATGTGGGCTGCCACACCAAGTTAGATAATGCATTTGAATCAGCTACGGAAAGCAAATCTTAATAATTTGAGAGCAAGCCGTTTATTTGGGAGATTACCCCTAAACAGGGGTTGAGAGTGTGCGTTAGTAATCCAGGCACCTGCCTTGGCGGCCAGGCACTTTTCTACATCAAGTCTAACTGACTTGGTCTCCATTTGACTGGTTTGTCCAGGAGCATTAAGTCTGCCACATCCATGGCCTACAGCCACCCTGAGAGAGACACAGATGCTTGTAGTGATAGAGACCAGAAGTGGAGAGCAAACAGCTCGGGCTTGTCTGTAACTGCTGGTGTAAGCATCAACACAGACAAGCTTTGGCTTCTAGAGCCTTCTGGAGTCTGAACACTTGAATCGTACCATTGGGCATTCTATCCGGGCAAAGTCAGCAGCCAACGTCCTATTTTGACCTCTACTATGATGTTCAGAGCTCTATTGTATGAATATTTACTGGAGAATCTGTCTAAAGTGGCTTTAGTAAAACCCAAATTATTTCCAAAACACACTGTTTAAAAGATGATGGTAACACACATGCCTCCTGGCCATAGCTCCATGGCTCTCTGACCCATCTACCAGCGCTCACCCTTAAAGGGACCCAGCCCAGTGAAATAGCAGACTCCTTCCTATAGATTGTCCACTTCCAGAAACAACGGGCCTGCCAAAGAGTAAAGCAAATTAACAAGCCCCATTAACCATCTCTTAGTGTGGTAATTGTGGATTTGATGTTCAGAGTCAACATGCTAGACTTCCTGGGGGAGGAACCCCATTTCATCCTCCCAATTATCATACCCAGCGGGCATCGGTAACAACAGATAAGACACGTAGGTGAATTTCACAAGTTTAATGAGAAACAACTGCAGAAGATTCAGGTTGTGTCTTCCTGCTGTAAATATGGTTTCCTACCTAGCAGCCTCTAGCTTCACCTCGGTTGTCGATTTGACTACGGCTGGAATGGACTAAACCCCAAAGAGCTGGGTACACCTATGAGGGATTTTCTAATTGTTTGAGGTGGGAAGACCAGACCTAAGTCTAGGCCACACGTTCTGGTGGCAGCCCACACCCCAGGGCACAGGAGGAAGCTCTTTGCTTTTTGCCTGCTTGCCCTCACTCTGGGTGGCAACTCTGCCTGTCCTGCTGCAGAGGCATGACTTCACTGGTATTACGCTGAAGACATCTTCACTTCATGAATTAAACAACTACAGAACTCTTGGCCTTCCCATCAGGAGACAGCCATTGTTGGACTATCCAGAAAGCCTGTAAGCCATTCTAATAAACACCCTTTTAGTATATATAGGTTCATCCTGTAAATCAATTCCTAGAGAATCCTAATACAAATCCTGCATAAAGAAAAGAGGTGAAGGGAATGAACTGTTCCTACAAGACTTTTACAGACCTTTCACAGAAGGTGCAGAAACAACATTGGAAAGCAAGTGCTTAAGTCAATAAAGTTTAAAATGCCACCAACCAGGACATGGCCCCTCAGCCCTCCCGTTCAACCGCGCTTGAAGAAATGGGAGTCCTGTGACCTCTTTCATGCTCAAGCACAAGCTTCAGTGGCTCTAGCCTCTGGCATAGTGTGACAACTGTACAGTAGGACCGAAATGCCCGTCTCCTGTGAGTTCCTCCAAGGTAATGTCTGACTAACTTCATAAGGGGGAAGAGAATAAAGCCATCATTTTAGGGCTAGCCTCTGCCTTAATGCAAGCTATCACTCTCTTTGATAGTTACTATTTGAACTTAATTTAGATGCTAACCCGCTGTCCCCAAATCTATAATGGTTAGAAGGCTGGGAGAAGAGAAGCAAATAGGGACTGCGGGTAGCCATGACAGGTGAGCCGCAGACCGCGGGTGGCCATGACAGGTGAGCCGCAGACAGCAATGGAATGGATGGACGCGGCCCAGAGTGTGACAAAGCTACACTGGGTGCCTCCCATGGAGGCAAAGCCCCAGGAGGGTTGTTCCCAGAATGCCCCTTGCTTCCCTGCACTTCCTCCTGCGGGCTGCTTGCTGCCCTGCTCCTGCTGAGTTTGGCACGGTGTGGTTACCTTATGAAGGGACCTCTCTGTGTCTACTACAGTGTGATTGTTTCCTGGGAAAATCCCACTCCTCACTGGACAGTTTAACTGCAGATCATAATGAAGATGATGTTTCTAAGAGCGATGATGATTAGTTAGATCTATGATTTTATTGGACTTTCTGAGTTAGCCTAACAGACAAAGGTGGTTAGGACAGTTAGTAAAGATGATTAGGGAAACGGTGTAGGTTTTTCTGCCAACTGCTCCAATGAGAGATACAAAAAAAGGAAAATATAGGCTAAAAGTCACCTTCCCCTTTGTTAGATGTGAGATCTGCAGAGGATGGAAAATAAGAACAAGGAAGGCTCACGCATTATAAGTGAATTCTGCCTGTGGGGAAACAGGCTAATGATTAAAGAAATCAGTTATGTCCCTATACCCAAGGTTGGAGCTGAGCTCGTTGGTCATTAGCTTACAGAATTAATCACAGTATGCTCCTTGAAAAAAAAGCAAGGTTGTAAAAGAAAAGGGAAGGACCCTATTGTGTGCAAGGGTAGTGAACTGACCGCTGGTTTAAAGTTTCTCTAGAGCACAATTAGAGATCAGTCACACTGAAACTGCAAACAGCTGTCTGCCAGTACAGGAGAAACAGGCTGGAATAGAATTAGCTTGCTTAAAACTTTGTTAATCAGTAGTAAAAGAATCATTGCTTTGGGGTGAAGATGTTATGGTGGGAAAATTAATACCAAAAAAAAAAAAATGTTTTAACACTTGTGGGCTTCTAGAGAAAACCTGTGATTTATGAATCTTTTTGTTTGTTTGTTTGGGTTGGGTTGTTTTGTTTTGTTTTTCAGAGACAGGGTTTCTCTGTGTAATAGCTCTGGCTATCCTGGATGTCCATTTGTAGGCCAGGCTGGCCTGGATTTCACAGATGTCCACCTAACTGCCTCTGACTCCTGAGTGCTAGCATTAAAAGCGAGTGCCACCTTTGACCCCTGGTGTTTGGATTAAAGGAGTATGCTACCATGTCAGGTATTGGCTTCATATTTTTAGTCCATTAAATAAATGAAAATTGCTGATAATTAAATGCCTTTTGTACTTCTGACCTGATTTGACGTCATCTGCTTCACAAGTTGAGGCTTTTCCTTATGCTTCACTTTCCACCCATACATCAACAGTCATTATTATACTCCTGTGGTGGTTTGAGTATGGTCCCATAGACTCATGTGTGTGAATGCAGGCCTATGGGGACTGGCACTATTAAGGAGCATGGCAATGTTGGAATAGGTATGGCCTTGTTGGGGGAAGTTCATCTTTGTTGGGGCAGGTTTTGAGGTCTTCTATGCTCAAGCTATGCCCTGTGTGACACCCAGTCTCGTCCAGCTGCTTGCAGATCGGGATGTAGAACTCGCAGCTCCTTCTCCAGCACCAACCACGTCTGCCTGCGTGCTGCCACGCTTTCTGTCATGATGGTAATGGACCAAACCTCTGAACTGCAAGCCAGCCCCAATGAAATGCCCTCCTTTATGAGAGCTGCTGTGGTCATGGTGTCTCTTTGCAGCAATAGAAACCCTGACTAAGGCAACCTCAGTTGTCTTCACTCATGCATCCAAGGTCACGGTTCCATCTCCCACGGCATGCAGTACACAGCTACTGAGGGCTATCTGCACAGACTCCTGTGAGTGGCTTCTTCGGGACAGCGCTTAGAGATGCAAGGTGATTCATTATAGACAAGGCATCCATCCTACGCCACGGGATTCCTCATGTGACCATGCCTCATTTTACTTATCTGTTTTCTTAGTGGATGACAATTAGCTACTGTCAACAGGGCCTCTGTGAACAGTCTTCTCCGAACCTTCACATGCACAGGTTTACATGTTCCTTTTTATTCTGAGTTAACTTTGAAAGAACCATTTTGTACTGGTTGTAATAAGAAGATACTCGGTGAAACTTAAAATATTTATTAGTATGGGTTAAAATCAAAAGCAATGGATACAAATGAGCGTGGGGAAAATGTGTCACCATAGGACAGGGACAAGACGTGAAGATCCTAGGTGCCTGGGGAGGGGTCATCTAGGTGCAAAACCTGGGTCCAGCCCAAGCAGAAACCCTTTACCAAAACACGGGAAAGGGCGACAGTCTGTGTGACTGCGTGACTAGTGGGTCCCTGGGTGTCCAATGATGGTGAAAGGCATGGTCAGGCCTGAGCACAGCCAGAGCTCCCTGCCCGCCCTGAGCATTACTCAGTGGCAAGGAGCGACGCCTGCACAGACCACAGTCCTCGATGTCAGAGGGAACGTTTCAATCCTCGGGTCCTCCCTCAGGAAAGAGTCCCCCCGGGGCACAGCCCTTACTATTGGCGAGAATGCAGGTTGGTCTGCACAGCGACATCATATTCAGTACCTTAATGTACCACTTTTTCGTAAAAAATGGCAAGTCAATTCTGTACCTATGTAAAACACATGAACAACTCTAGCACTGCCCTTCGGGATTTCTACTGGGAAAGATTCCCTTTGACAACGTGTCCCATGAGCCAAACCCAGCCACTCTGAAATGGGTTACATGTAGGTGTAGCCAACATCAATCATATTTACACATATACAAACCGGCCACAAGTAAGAGAAAGAAGGGGGGGATGGGAAGGAAATTTGGGGATGATGATAAGGGCACTATAGCCTGTGACTGGAGCAGTTGTAATTTCTGGGTCTTTCTATGTTTTTCCATGATTAAAGGCCAATTGTTAAAAAGCCCAGAAGGGACTCCCACGCCAAGAGGAGAAAGGCACCAAAGGCATCTATCTGCAGAGAAGGCCCAAGATGGTATGAATATTCGTGTGCCCAAGGCCACTTGGTCTCTTCGTCCGTGGTGGCGGCACAGACAAACTTACCCTCTGCCTGGACTTGACAATGGCCTGGGCAGTGCAGCCCAGGAAAAGGGAGGCTTCGTTCCCTGATGTGCTTTTCTCCAATACACCTAGAGTGGCTCACTTGTCGGGGCGAAGCCCAGATGGTTCATGCAAAATTCAGCCACTGCAAACCCAATCCAAAGCCATGACATTCTCTTCCGGGGACAGTACCATCTCGGCTTGGAAATCTAGACAGCCAGCTAGACAAATGGAAGCTCCCAGGAAGGTTCCCTACAGCAGGGGAAGGTCCACACACGAGCTTGGTACTACCTGGAGAGGGGCCATTTCCGTTCAGACTCTATTGTTTTCTGTTTGTGTTCTGGACTAAGGTCTTTGTCAGCACGAGGATCCTGCCAGCCAGCGATGCTGGCAACATGGGACAGGCACTGACAGTCCTCGAGAAGGCCTTGCCATGCACATGCGCACGTGACATACAGATGCCATGACAAGGATTTTCTACCCTCCATGTTCTAAGGTTCAATGAACTCCCAAGTTGGGGGAATCAGGAAAAACATAGGTGTAAGTACACATCCCGGGGTTGACGACCACCGTCGGTGACAGGAACCTGCCTCTGTCTGCCTGACGGCCCTTTCTTTCCAAAGCTGGCGAAGATCAAAGTAATTCTGATTTCATGCCTTGGGGCGGAGTGGGGGGAGTGCAAATTTTAAGGTGGTAACTAACATTCCTCTGGATGGCCTGCTACAGCCATGGTAGCAGCCATGCTATTAACAGAAGTTTGCCCTACAATTTAGACTCAACATCCTGCGATTAGATTCTTCCCTTAGACGTGACGCTCTGGCATGGTCTGCTAGTAAAGCAATGCCCTGTGGATTAATCATCTCCAAGAGAAGAAACGCATTGCAATGGGGAGGACACAAGCTGGGTGGTACGCAGGGTGCTATTTATAACCCCCACCTACCAGTGCTTACACACCAACTCTTTTACACCGGACAACCCACTCCCAAAATGATGTCATGTTCTAATCTGACTTTGCTGGTCTACGCATAACGATACCTTAGAAAAAAGTTCATCGGTTACATGAAAGGGGGCAGAGATGGCAGTTTCTAATACAACTTTTGTCTCTTTTGCAGAGCAGTCCTCGGTTCTAATGACAGACCAGCTCTACTTCTCTGAGTTCCCTCGGGAAGCCAATAAACGCTTTCTCTCAAAGCCACCTAGAAGCTAACCTTCTATACTGCCTCTGCCTTTCGGTGAACCGCCCGGAGAAGAAGGCCCTGGCCCCGGAGGAGTTATTGTACTCCAACTAGGCGCCATGGGAAGTCAGAGGAGAATAGCATGCCAAGGTTTGTGAACAAATCTAGAAATCTTCTAGTATTTCTTCAACAAGAATGGCAACTATGCCTGTAACCTAGTAAGTACAACCCTGTCGTGTGCCTGTCACAAACCGAAGGCCACGGTGTGGTGATAAGGTGAGTATTTCGGAGTTTTCTAGACTCTCTTTTTAGCAAACTTCCCAGCTCAGCATCCTGCTGGTGTCCCAGCATGCAATGCTGTTCACTCTCCAGCAGGCAGCTAGTCCCGAGGGCAGGGTCCGTCCTGGACACCGGAGAGGGCTCGAGTTTCTTCCAAACGCCGCGGGCCTTGGGTCAGCAGCAGCGCCGGCTGGCTTGCAAGCTCTGGGTCCCAAGCCTGATTCCTCCACTGTTTCCATTTTCATGGGGGTCCAAGGGTGGGATCTGACGGCCTGCAGGAAAAAGGAGGCCAACGTTGAATTCTCTTATTTTAAAACGTGGGCCTGTTTGGGGTTAGAGAGTAGTAGTCCCAGGGGGAGGGCTAGCGGCTCCTCCCTCCTTTCCTTCAGTCCCCTCCCCGCCTCCAGCCTCCCCCCCCCCACCCCCGTCTTCGCTCTTCTCTCCTTTTCTTAGTTCTTCCGCATGAAGTCGAATCCATGTTTAAAAGGTTGAGGGCAATTACCAGCAGTTTCTTGACCATGCAAGCATCCCAGGAACAGGAGAACGCACTCAGGGCCCTCGGCCTTTCCATGGAGCCTCCCTGCTTTGTAGGCCTGGACTTCAATAATAACGGCAAGCAAGCATTTTCTATCTCTCCCGCTACTCACAAAGAGAAACGGGCCGGGAACTGCAATCACTGTAGACCTACCACGGGCTAGCGCGCACCTCACCAGCCTAACTTACCCAGAAGGCCTCCGGGCGTATTTCCCAGGAGTCAGTGCCTTAATGGCACATACAAGCAACCTTATTTTGACTTCATTTCATCTGAATTTTTGCAAAGAAGGGATAAGACAGCTAAGGTCTGGGGTCTTAGGCTCTGCTGGACTGTGCTGACCGTGGCAGGCATCTGTGTTTGTACTAAAACCACCGAGCTGTGTTCACAACGCAGATGGAATGTGTGACCTGCATCCCAACAGAACACGGGAAACCTAGAAGCAGCAAGCTTAGGCAGCCTCATCCTATCCAAGAGTCATCTTTGATCCTTCCCAGGAAGCCTTATAATGCCCATTATCACCGCCATTTTCTGTGGCTTTGCCGAAGGCCAAACCCGATGGTGGCTCCCACTATAACTGCATTTCCCGATGGACCCTCAACCCTTGTGCTACCCGTACTGTCCTTGTCTCTCTCCTTCTCTCTCTCTCTCCCTCTCTCTTCTATTTTTCTATTCGTCCTGAAAAAAACATAGAACACTAGTTCTAAAATGAAAGAATAAAACACACAGACACTCATATACACACACACAGACACAAACACACAGATACACACTCACACAGAGACACTCTCACACACACACATAGACACACACACTAACATAGATACACTCACATAGACAGAAACACACTCACAGACACACATACAAACACACACAATTAAAAGGGAAACTGTTTCCAAAGAAGAAAGATTTTTGCTTTTGTTTTTATGGCAAATAGATGCTCTCTGTTTGGAGTAAGCCAGAGCCAAAAGACCCAGAGGCTAAAGGCCTTTGGCTAAGAGGCAGGATACGATTCCGGAGGCGTTAGTGCATTGTGCAGATGGAGTGATGTCGATACCGGGCAAAGCTTAAGCACAGACAGACATAAGTCCTCTGGCATTTGACTCAAGATTGATGAGCATCTGATACAGAGTTCCCAGCAGTTTCCATAACTACATCTTCTGCCGTCATACACAGCCAACAGGTTATACAGAACTTTCGTAGGCCATTCTCGTAAAGACTTCAGCAGAGACAATCGGATCGCCAGTGTTGTACTTTCGTCCTGAAGACGTGTTCTTCCCAATCAGAGTCACAATGGAAAGGGAGGTAAAAGTAAAAATGCCCTTTCTACTTTGTCAACTGAAGTAGCTTGCTCTGAGGATTTACTCCAGTCACGTCCTGCCAATAAAGGGCTGCCTGCTCCTCAGGCCAGTCATGTCTTCACAGGCCCATAGTGTCAAGCTACATAATTCTATTACAATATGGTTGACTTAAAGGACAGCAACTATTTACTGTTGAGTATGGGACATCAAACTTTTTTCCCCCCAAGACAGGGTTTCTCTGTGGTTTTAAAGTCCATCTTAGAACTCACTCTGTAGACCAGGCTGGCCTTGAACTCACAGAGATCCATCTGCCCCTGCCTCCCAAGTGCTGAGATTAAAGGTGTGTGCCACCACTGCCCAGCCAAGGGAATTAAACTTTTAGCAGGTGAGCCGGGCAGTGGTGATGCGCCCCTTTAGTCCCAGCACTTGAGAGGCAGAGGCAGGCGGATCTCTGCTGAGTTTGAGGCCAGCCTGGTCTACAGGGAGAGTTCCAGGACAGCCAGAGCTAGACAGAGACACCCTGTCTCAAAAACAACAATAAGAAACTAGCAATTGTGACAATCGTGTCCCACAGACACGTTCCTTCTGCCTCATGTGAGCACCAACACTGTACCTTTCAGGCCTCTCCACACGCCTTTTACGATGTGTGGGGTTTGTTAAAGTGATGCGGGCAGAGTGGAAGCCTAGAAACAAACTGCACGCGTGAGCACGCCAGGAGCACCGGGTGTCCATCCGTCCGTCCGTCCATCCACACCCCCGCCCTTCCTGCACCTTCCCTGCTCTAGTCGTTTCCCCTCGCAGACAACAGGCTTTGGCGTCGTGTGTGCCAGCGGCCTCCTTGCCTGTGTTATAAATCATTGGCAAACGTGGCTTCTTTGAGCCGCCAGATTCCTTTGCCTTTCATGGCATCCAGAGCCTCCCGGTTACGGCGCAGGGCTGAGTCCTGAAGGGACCCACTGAAGTTCCTGGGTTCTTATGGCCAAGGACTAAGGACTGCACCAAGGACACACAGTATGGGAAGCAGAGAGTTCGTTAAGAAAGAGAAAGACAGTTCTGGGAATGCGAGTGAGAAAGTCCTTAACAGAGGCACGGGCTTTTCTCCCACACGCTACTGAAAGTCCGGGTGGGCAGGGTCTCCAGTCTGTTGAAAAGTGTTTTGTTGACTAGGTCCCCTCCTCATGCCGCTGCCTCCTTAACCCACAGGAGTTATGCTTCAAGACCAGTGAGTGCCCGGTGGACAACGGAAACCATGGGGAACACCAAGCACTTAGCTACCTTCCTTACTCTCTGAAACAGGTATACCTATGATAAGGTTTCACCTGTGAGTTAGATACAGCAAGAGATTTATAAAGTAACAAGTCATAAGTTAGAGCAGTTATAACGGCAGGCTGTATTGAAAGTTAAAATGTGATTTTTTTTTTTTTTTTTATTTCTGGGATTTCCATTCAGTACTTTCAGTCTATGCCACAGTATTTCTCAGAGGCAAAAATCAGTGTGGTTTCTGCAGACTTCAATTTTATCTTTGGGTAGAGCGCATTTTGAGATTTGAGAATCAGTCAAATGAGCCTGGACCAGTTATGTGAATTCCCCGAGAGATTCTTCCCTCCACTATGAAAAGCACAAAGACAGTAACCCTGACAACTCCTACACACTGCATGCAAGGGACTCGGCATACTGATACATGTGCCTTGATGTCCCCCTCGACCCAAGGGGCTTCTGACTGGCCCCCTCTACCTTTCCTTTTAACCCGTCTTGTCTGAGCCTGTGACCACTTGAAAAGGCGTGGTCAGTGCACAGGTGTGGAGGCAGAGCTGTCACTACAACTCGGGACAATAACTCGGGTTCCTTGCAGCAGCAAGCTCTGGCCAGGCCTCAGTGGTCTTGGCGTGGGAAGAAACGCCCAGTGTTCGTGGCCAGGAGGAATGGTTCGGAGACCACCCTGCTTGCGGACATCACATAGTTCCACCTTCAAACTGTGAGCAAATGAAGGGCACCCACTTTAAAGGGAGACAGATAAGAACTGGATCCCAACCTCGAGCCAAGCACCGTTAAAGAGCTAAACAAACAACACCTTGAAAACAAGTGCCAGCCCCTCCACCCTATCCCCACCCCCACCCCACCCCCTGCGTTGTGCACTGAGGCATTCAGAACTTGCTGGGTAAATGTCCTCAAACAAAAGAGCAGTTCTGGGAAGTGGCCACAGCGTTCTGCACCAAGGAGACTCCCTGGATCACAGCTCAGAGGATTATATTTACCTGGACACAGAACTGAGCTAAAATGACCACAGCATCTACACAGGTTCACACTGTTCTCTGGATGTTTCTTCTCCTACAGAGCCCTTAAGCGTGCAACTTCCACGACAAGCTACCTGTTCTTGAACAGGAACCCTAGGCCAGTGTGTCTATTTTAACACAGTTTGGGTTGTGCAAGATTCTCTTGGGGAGGTATTAAAAAGACTTTTATCCTCGTTTTCCTGGAAGTTTCCAGGAGGAAAGCATGTTTTACACACACTTCCTTGGGAATGCAAAGTGTGGAAATAAATTCCAGACCTATGAGTCTAGCCCAGCTTGGCTGGCGCAGCCGCCCTAAGGCACACAAGGAACCATAAAGCAGAGCGCTCCCAGCAGGTGATAAGACTCCGCTCCTGAACACTCCGACTGCTCTGCAACGGTTCCGTCTGTCCGTCTTCCATCCGTTTGCTAGGGCCTGGCAGGATTTATCTCTTGATAACGGCCCGAGGGCTTCTCCTTTGGGAGAAGCGGCCTTTGTGAACCATTGCGGTGGCTCCTACATGGCTAAGAATCACTCCTAGGGGTCGTCGTCGTCCTCTGGTTACCATAACAGAGATGATACTAGAAATCCTTTTCGTTTGTTTTGTTTTTGAGGCAGGGTCTCTCTTTGCAGCCCTGGCTATCCTGGAACTCAGAAGTGATACTATTCTACCATCAACTCAGAGATCCACCGTGTCTACAGTAGTGCTGGGGTCAGCGCCGTGTACCGCTCACACTCAGCCCAACTCGACATGCAGTGTTTTGTGGAAATCCATGGGAGGCCTGCCTTTTTCTGAATAGAAAGAAGGAGTGGATGGGGGGGGGGTAGAGGACAGGTGGGAGGGAGTAAGGACAAGGAAGAGACGGAGGAAACTGCAGTCGGGATGTTAAATAACAAGAGGAAAAGGGTCACTATTAGGCCAAGAATCGATGTGAGGAGTGAGCTAGGATCCTATAGAGAACCAGAATGGACTGGGAGGCAGATGCTGAATGTGGTGAGGAAACCCACAGAACGCTCAGGTCCAAGACTGGGAGAGCTAAAGTAAGCTCAGTGAAAGAGCTGGAAAGGAAAAAGGCAAAGAGAGACACAAGAAAATCCCAGATGAGACATGACAACCGAGTAGAAACGAGCCTGGGGAGCCAGCGAACGACGTAGCTCAACCGTGCCT